TAATTCTATCATGCCATGCTCTACGCTCATTTTAACATAGGTAGGCATTATATTTGTCAATATTTTATACCTGGCTAACGCTTGGTTTAAAAATTTTAACAAATATAATGCCTTCCTATGTTAAAATGAGCATTGCGCATGGCATGAAAGAATTATTTCTTTTTATAAATAAAAGTTGGTTTGCAACATTATAACGTCCAATATCTTCGTCTTCGTCTTCGTAGAACAACCACTACAAACCATTGAAAGTCTGAAATGGCCTATATTTGTACTCGACTGTACTGATTTTTACTCGACCAGTCTTAATTGGTCTGAAATTTACTTGATTATACTCGACTGTAGTCTGAACCATACTTAACAGTCTGAACTTGTACTCGACCACACTCGACCAGTACTTAACCATTTTATTTGCGTCTGAGCCATGCTCGACCTAGTCTGAACCATACTCGACCTAGTCTGAACTATACTTGACCTAGTCTGAACCATACTTGACCAAGTCTTAACCAATCTAGACATATTTTTTGTATCTATCTATTGTATTTCATCAATTTAGGAACTGTTTTAACAGCTATTTCCCATGGCTAGAAATTTAAACAACAATTTGAAATTTAAAATGTATTCAATATGGCATTGAAACCAAAATTTCACAATAAACATAATATAAATTCAACACCATATTCATCAACACTTACATATATATATCACCTTTAAAATTAAAATAAAACAAGCTGATCCAATAATCTCAAAACTGAATTGTGACTAATATTTTCAATGTTATTCAAACTTTTTTGAATGTTTCAGATATATTTTATAATTACTGGACAATTTTCACCATTTACTTAAGCCTTGTATAGATTTATGGTGTCAGTTGAGTTTAGTTAATAATGCAGTGAACATTTTTTTTATTAAAATATATTTGGAGGTAAACGGACAGAAAGTCACAGGACAAAAAGTCACAGGACATAAAGTCACAAATTTGATAGGACAAAAAGTCACAAATAATTTGTTGACAATTGTTTGAATATATATAAGAAAGATCTTGAAATATTTTCTTTTTATAACATATATTCATTTTTAAGTTTAGGAAATTGTTCATATGCCTTGATAAATGAAAATTTATTAAATTTTAATCATGCAAAGGATATATTTCTTGGCACAATGAAGCCATTTAAGTACCAAGCCACTTTGACATTTTGTTTTCATAGCAATTATTTGATCATTATTGATATTCATTGAAAAAATTTTAATTACAAAGTTGCTTCATATATATAATAGTTCAAGAAAAAACAAAAATTTAATTTTTTAAATTAGTGTTTTCTTGTTTAAAGAAAAATAATCTCAAAACTGAATTGTGTCTTTTTGTCCTGTGACTTTTTGTCCGTGACTTTTTGTCTGTGACTTTTTGTCCTGTGACTTTCTGTCCTACATTCATATTTGGAATAGTATATAAAGCAACTTAATAAATTCAAAAGATCACACCTTTGTTTTGTAAAACCAAGAATTTAATATAATCATGACAATAGAACTTCCGTAGCAATCCTTGATAACCATTTAAAAAAGGAAATGTGTTCCAAAGTTGCAGAAAAAATTTATTTCAATTAAATTTAAATAACTTTTGTCAAAATTAAAGACATGGCATACAAGAAGAACTTTAATAAGGTTTAATTACCTCAGTACATGTGTGTTTTACAGGTAAAAAGAAAGCCCTATTTTTCTTAAACTCGTGTATTACTTATCTAGTGAATTCAAAAGGCCTTGCGATTTAAGTTTTACAGGATGTTGCAATTTTTACTGAATGTTAATTAGAAATTAATTCACTCTGACTAGGTGTGATCTTTTTAATGAGTTTGCCCCAAGCAGGAGGTATTACTTTATACTTTACCACTATTCAGATTTTTTTTTTTATTTATTTATTTTACTTTTTTATCCCTTTTTGATATATATTATATATAATATATCCCAAATTATAATAAGAATAGATATATTTCTAATATAAGGTTAAACAATTTCAGTGATTTTTTGGCTCTTGTTAACTCATTAAAAAGATAATTATATAACTATTGTATGTAACCATAAAACCTATGTAGTTTTTCTTTAGGAATTTAGGAAAATTAAGTTTAAAAACATAAAAAAACACATGCCAACCAAGAAGCACCTTTATAAGGTTTTATTACCCTCAGTAAAGGTGTGGTTTTTAGGTAAAAGATTTTTTTTTTTTAACAAAACTCTAAAACTTAAAATTTATATAATTAAATTATTATATAAGATAATTTGATTTAACTATCTCTATTTGATATATCTGAGAATCATGTAAGGATGTAAAAATATGTTTTTATATATATCTTTATTTTATTGTGGCTGTTATCATGTCAGAAAAAAAGAAATTAATTTTAACAGCTAAAAAAAAAGTAGAGGTTTTTTGGTCAAGTATGGTTCAGACTGGTCGAGTATTGTTCCGACCTTTGGTCGAGTATGGTTTAGACTGAAAAAAATAGGTCAAGTACAGGTCGAGAATGAGTTAAGCCTGTTTCAGACTGGTCGAGTAATAGTTCAGACTATTTTCAATGGCAAAGATAAGGGTCAAGTACAAATCAGTACAGTCGAGTATGGTTAAGACTGGGGTCGAGTAATGTCGAGTAAAATTCAGACCAATTCAGACTGGTCGAGTAAAAATCAGTACAGTCGAGTACAGATATAGGCCATTTCAGACTTTTACTGGTTTGTAGTGAACCTAATTGGCAATTTAGCCCGTGAAAATGACGATGAGACAGCTTTCCATCAGAGACCAAATGATGTAAAAGTTAACAAATATAGAACACCGTATGGCATCCAACAATGAGAAACGCCCATACGGCATAGAAAGCTAAAAAAGGCCCCGAAATGAAAACTGTAAAAAAAAAACTAATGTGAAAACTAACGACCTAGATTTATGTACAAAATAAAAAACGAATAACAAATACATGTATGATATACAGCAAAAAAAGACAACAACCGATTTACAGGCTCCTAGATTCGGTACTGGCACATACAGAATGACGGGGTTGAACGTGTAAGCCCCCCCAGCTCCCCCTCCAAAAAAAACAAGAAAAAAAAACTGGTATAACAGCACAACATATGAACAAACTATAAAATTCAGTGAGTTGAAAAAGGCTTAACTCATTTGATTACAGAGCCCCTATAGTAAATATGCGATTGGCGGCTGTCTCTGTTTTTTCGTCTTTTATTAAATTCTATGATGGTATACGATATAGTTACATTATATCAGTGGCGGATCCAGGGGAGTAGAGGAAGAACGCCGACCCCTCCCCCCCTTTTGGTGGCTAGAAATAATTATTTTATCATGTTTTTTACGATTTATATATGATTTTTTATTTAGCATAAAATCGTTAAAAAAAAGTTCCCCTTGCAACGCTCGGCGGTATAAAATCCGTTTATGAATACGCCCCTTTAAAAAAGTCATGGCCTCGGTCCGCCCTTGCATATTGACAATTTAAAACTTGACCAAATTGGTTAAATTGTAGAACATTTGTCAATGTACGATGATCATTATACAATGAAGAGATAAACCTATATATAATAGTTGTACTATATAGGGCAGTTGTTAACAACTTGATACTAGTGCATTAAAGAATTTGTTAATGTTAAAAAAAAAAAAAGAAAAAAAAGAGAGATAAAACATCGCTTATTTATAAAAATTACTAATCAAATAATCATTATTGCAATTTCCGGATGGCCTAAGACTTTTATACTAATTTATACTTAGTATTATTGTAACAAGGAGGGTAAACAGATTTTTAACGCACTATTATTGTGATCCTTTGCGCCGCATGGAAATTCCTTTTCTTGGGCGATTCTGCATGCACATACATTTGTCTTATTCTCTTGCTTTATAATGAACGTTTAGTTTCAGAATATTTATTTTCAACCGATTATACTGTCTTCCCTTTAAGTAGAGCGGACACTAAGATAACCATCTTGTTGTCCCAGAAAATCCCATATCAAATGTGCGTCCTTAAATTTTCAAAGCCGTACACTAATTAAGTTTGAACACTTAAATTTGTATAGATGATATAAAAAATCTAATTCCGTTTCAAAACCTTCATTTCTTTTTAATTTTTCCTTTTTTTTTTTTATACAAAACAAAATTGAAATTTGCTTTGTTCTAATATAGCAGGAATTCAAGTGTTTACGGATTCAAAAAGGTTATAAGTTATCCTCTGAAAGAAAATGTTTTTCAACGATCCCTCAAACTGCTGCTGAACGCCATATTTTTATTTTCGTCATGCGATTATGCATTATTTTCTATGACAAAACCGGGTGTGCTTTGTGAAATTTAAGGACAAAACCGGGTCGTACACATTGACAAAACCGGGTGCTTCAATTTTGACATGATCCACTTCTTTCATTCCATGCACAGACATGCAAACATTGAGGCGATCATAGTGAAAAGTCTTGACATCTCCGTGTTAATATCTTTCTTTCCGTACCTTTCTTTCCATACAATGTGCTCAATTTAAAGAGAAATTAAACAAATTCGAGGCAAGGTTCACTCAATTCACCATTTTGATGTGCCTTTTTACTTATTTCTCCATAAATCTAGAACGGTGGTAGAAAATATTACATCACACTATCGAAAATAGTTATATGTGTATGTATATTCTTCAATATACTTAAAACAACAAATAAATAAACAGAATTTCTACATTTCTCTGTCTGTTGATTGTCCGTCACCGTACCGGACATTAGATACTATTGAGTCCAAACATTTTTCGCCGGGGTAGTTTAGATACAGTGTCACTGCAAAAGGTAACGTACATCGGAAATGGGCATGACTTTAGATCGAAGTTAACGGACATCTTCTCATCAGTTATCATACGTTTTATATTACTGAATGCAACAACTGACCGAAAAGGCTAAAGATGAGTAGTATTTGATCTTGCAAACGATCCATTTATTGTCCTGACTAATTATTTGGATTGATGTAAATACACTTTACTTACGCTGACAGCAAGAACCGGTCCAGCTTTGTAAAGGGCATACCGATCAGTCCCAGCCGCATAATTTGTAGGTGTATCGCCCGTGCCAGGCTGTAATCCTAATTCATGAATAACAAAACTTGTGAACTTTTCCATTCGAGACACCTGCCCACCAAAGCAGACAAACTGTAATAAAAATGGGTTTTGAAAACATTTTAATCACTTTTTAATGGGTTTTTTTTTCAGCACACGTCATATTCTTTGGATAAAGCAAAAATAAGGACGTGCTTGATATCATTTAAACATTTCAGACTGGGGTTCCCAACGACGACACATTGAAATTGAAAAAATCGAGGATACGTTTTAAAACTAATTCCATATGTGAACAAGAAATCAGTCTATTCAATTTTAGTGAAACAATTGTCTCTATTTCACCAATTCTAGAAAACGAAACAACAGCTAATGAATAGGCCGACGGTAAAGCAGTGATTTGAACAAGTTAAGCAACCACGTGTATCTCGTGACAGAAAGTGTTTTGGAATTAAACAGTTCTTCTGTGGTAGCTTACTAGGTTTGCATCACAAAAGCGATCATTGTGGACTAAATTTTATATAAAGATGCTACTTTGAGCCCGAAGTGTACACGACTGAAAGGTGAAACTACCTAAAGGGGTTTTACATAAAGATGGTAGAGAATCGAAGTTATGACATGAAGAAATAACTTATAGACATAAATCAGAATCTCTGGATATTGAAGTTTAAGAAAATTCAATGTCCAACCCAAAACCATATACATTATTGTTTACCATAGAGATAACTTTGAAATGCATCTCAAGGTTATATTCACTGGATGTGAAAGTGGGGTTAAGCACAAACATCAATCAATCAATCATAAATTGGTATAGTTGTTTAGTTTCTTTTTTTTTTGTTTCATTATAAATATAAAAATAAGAAAAGATGTGGTATGATCGTCAATGTGACAAATCTCCACAAGAGACCATATGACATATATAGAAATTTACAACTATAGGGCACCGTACGGCCTTCAACAATGAGCAAAACCCATATCGCATAGTCAGCTACGAAAGGCCCCGAAATGACAAATGTAAAACAATTGAAGCGAGAAAACTAACGGCTTGATTAATGTATAAAATAATGAACGAAAAACAAATATGATATACAGCAACAAACGACAACCACTGAATTACAGGCTCCTGACTTGGAACAGGCACATATAAAGCGTTTCAAAATCCTTCATTAACTGATTTTTTTGTGTTTGTCCTTATGTTGTGCTGTTACACAATTGTTCCTGGTCAGGCGTTGGGTTTTCAGAAGCACTTGTTATCAATTTAAACCCAGTCATTTTCTGTATTTGCTTGTCCCTAGTCAGGAACCTGTAATAATTTAATTAATAAATTCATTTCCTTATGTCAGACAATTGGACTGAGTCGTGACTAGGGTCAAAATCGTGTAGTTCACGCCTAAATCGTGGAAGTTGGCAGGTATGAAGACTGACATTGTAACAACATATGTTAGACATTTCTAATTATCTGAACTGAGTAAGTCCCAGGTCGTACTGTATCGTGAGAGCCAAAAAGACGGGGAGGGGATTTATTTCAGGGGCTGAGTCTAGACCCTTAATCTCTAAAGGGAATTGCTGGTTCCCTATGACTTATTAAATTCCGCTTCTATCAATGAAATGCATATGCTCTGTACAAGAAAGTATATAAAAAAAAGCCGCACCCCCCCCCCCCCCCCCCCCCCTTTTTTCGCCACGAACTTTTTCCAACTGGTTGAAAACGTCTAAGCAAGGATTTGTATAGTACAAATACTTGGTCAAAGGAAACTCCGGTAATTTCAAATCATGTGTGATCTTTTGCGGTATTTCCATGGAACACTCCGTTTTCCGACATCAAGTAGAAGTTAAGTTATGCTTGTAAATGATTCTAGAACACATCATAAGGGTTAAAACAAAGCAGAATCACAAAAAAAAACAATTAGGAAAATTACGCGGAAATACGAATAGCATGTGTAAATCGAAAATGAATACGATGCGAGTGTGCGGAAAATCCTTGCTCATATATGAATAGAATACGACTCTGAAATGAAAACAGTTCAGTACGTACTATAGTAAGATACTGTTAAATATATCCCCAACATTAATGTTCGAAGGATATTAGCTAAAACAAAACACATGCGTCAGCATGAAATACCAAAACGGACCGAAAAACCGATAACATAAAAATGGTTCAGGCCTACACCCCTTAACCATATAAAGGTCAAGTTACAGTAATTACTAGTAATTAGTAATTAGGCTATGTCACAGATTTTTGTAAAATTTTGCTTAAACATTTGCTCGTTTCACTATAACTGAAAATCAATAAAATAATGGAGTTATCTTTTATTATCTAAAATATTACTGATTAAAATCTTTCAAAATACGGGAACATTTGTATATAAAGCACATAAAATCGGCGAAAAACGTTCTTAAATTTGTCTTAAAATCATCAAATCTCCGATTTCAAATACATAGATTTTTCTTAAAGAAACTATATGTTGTTGAAACATAAATTTCCGTTTTAATGATGTAAAATAATAATAGGGTCACCGACTTTGTTTTTACGGATACATAATTCAAAGTGGTGTTCTAGCTGAAAAATACCACAAAACGTCGAAATAAGCGTAACGTCATCGCGTTGTAGACCGTAAAACGTCGATTTTTGAAGTTTTTCACTACCAACTAGGTAACAGATCTGATAAAAGACCAAAAACGAAGTCGGTGAACATAATTATGATTATTTTATATCATTGAAACGGAAATTTGTATATCAACAACATATAGTTTTTCAATAAAAATCTATGTATTTGAAATTGGAGATCTGATGATATTAAGACAAATTCAAGATCGTTTTTAGCCGATTTTATGTGCTTTCTAAACAAATGTTTACCTATTTTGAAAGAATTCAATCAGTAAAATTTCAGATAATAAAAAAGATAAATCCATTATTTTTTCGAGTTTCATTTATAGTTCGACGAGCAAATGTTGTATGACATTTTTTACCAAAATCTGTGATATAGCCCATTTAATTTTCTTTGACCTTAAGTTGTCATGATAAGTCCTATCTAGTAAGTTTAATCCTGGAGAACATTCCCATACCCTATCATATTGTTGATTGTTAGATATCTTTAAAACTGTTCAGATCACTACCCTTTTACTATTATATTCTTAATGTCTTAATAATGCCTTCACAATGCCCCATATATTGATGTCCCTGGTAAAGCATGAAAAAAGTAAAATAACAAAATAAAGTATGAAATAAATCCAAAACTCCACAGACCCCCCATCCTTAAACAATATATATTATGAATTACCAACATATGACCTTTACAATGCACCACAGGTTTTGTTCCTTGAAGACTTGCCTCGACCCGTATCATTTATCCTTATTGTTCAAATATCTAAACAACTGTTCATAATTAAACCCCTAAACCAACTTCTAAATGGAAGGGAGACTTATGTTTTTGTCCACTAAAACAGATTAGGCTGTTTTAAAAGACGACTTGAACGAGATGTCTTTTTCTCCTTTTAAAACAAGCATTCTGAGAGTATTGCATGGCGATACATAGTCCCCTACCGGTTAAAAATTCATTGTCATGGTGTAAATTATATACCAAATATCAAGTCAATATCTTCAAGCATGACGAAAAAAAGTGTTGAAAACTGATTATTTAAGTGAATTTTCATAGTCCAATGCAAGTACCATAACACTGCACAAAATAATCAGACCGGAACAAAATTTGAACTTGATCTGTAACTTGTCATGATACAACTATATACTAATTATTAAAACAATGTCTTCAAGCATGACGAAACAAAGTGTGGAAAACTGATTATTTGAGTGAATTTTCTAAGTCCAAGGACCATAACTCTGCACAAAATTATCAGACCAGAACAAATTTCGAACTTGATCTGTAACTTGTCATGATAAAACTATATACCAATTATCAAATCAATATCTTCAAGCACGACGAAAAAAGTGCGGAAAACTGATTATTTGATGAATTTTCAAAATCCAAGGACCATAACTCTGCACATAATCATCAGACCGAAACAAAATTCGAACTTGATCTGTAACTTGTCATGATAAAACAATACACCAAATATCAAATCAATATCTTCAAGCACGAAGAAAAAAGTGTGGAAAACTGATTTGACGGACAGACAGACAGACAGACAGATAAAGACTTCGTCGGTAGGGGACTTAAAAAACCCACTCATTTCTTAAATTTAACGTTGTGCATTTTGTGATACTGAATCATTTTGCTAGATTATCAACTCTTATGTACTTATTAAAAAAAAATTCCCCTTGTGTACCCCCAGAGAACAATGTGTTCATTAGCATTATTAGGACAGGCGAAAAAAATATATGATTTATTTCTTGTACTAGTTCTTTGAGATGTCTAAATTAGGATCAGCTGTCAACAACACTATAAATATTGTTAATAACTACAATGTGCAAAAACAAGGTAATCATATATAGTCCAAGTTCTAGAACATATTTTTACAATGTTTTGACAAAGTATTTTGTTAAAACGAGCTACATTAACAAGGGTGTCATTCGGTTTATCGAGGACTCAGTCCTTTGATCTATGTGTGTATGAAGTCACATAGGAGAAAAGGCCGTTGATTGAGTAGGCTACGGGTACATTGAAGATCATTGAAAGTAATTTGTAAAAAAAATCTGAAAATTTTGTAGAATTTTTTCTACTTTCTCTTTATAATATTCACATTGTTGTTGAAGATAGTATTGAGTATCTAGCAAAATGGTCAATCATTACAAAACGAACAACGGTAATTTCAAGAGTCAAATGTGTGTGATCGCCGAATAAAACTAAAGGGCGAAACGAGACTCCTTTAAATATTCATTTTAGACTTTTTGAACGTGTACGATAAAAACTGAAGAGGAGCAATTTATGGTGAAATGTGCATAAAAACATGAGAAGATTACAGAAAAAAAAAATAATGTGATGCATACTAATTATTTCTTAAGGAAAGATTAGTCACATAAGGTGCAAATTCTTATACAAACATTTTTATTTATGACTTTCTTCTTAAGTAAATATTTGCTTGTGACCCTTTTCAATGCATTTCCTGACAAAACAACTGTTAACAACTATAATATGATG